ACGAGAGGCTTCCATGCTCTCGATAGCTATTGTTGAGTACTGATTAGAGACTGGTACTCTGTTGGGGGTGCTCTGCCTTGAACAAGCCCTCTTCTTGCCCCGTCGCACTGTCACCCTATCACTTTTAGCATGAATGAAGGGTGGCTGTGTGTTGGGCTCCTCTGGGAGTGGTCCTTTTCTTGAACTCTGACCTCCCGATAGCTCCAGTACCCCTCATGGCTCCTATACTGCTATAGTGGAGTCCTGTAGCTCAGTGGTTAGAGCACTTGCTTTGCAAGCGAGAGACCTGAGTTCAATTCCAGGCAGAGCGAAACCTTGGGCAAGTTTCCTTACTCCACACGTCTAATAATAATCCCTCCAAAACAAAAAAACAATAATAAATTGGTCATTTTCAATCTACGACTGTTTGTGGGACATTGCTGTGCGCAATTGGCTACCGCATTCGCCCACAAATATACAGTCAATTCACTTTACAGTGTGTTCTGTGAAGCGCTTTGGGACATCCTCCCGACGTGAAAAGCACTATATCAAATGCAAGGATTATTATTATTATTATTATTATACAGCAATGGCTGCTATAACTGAGTCCTAGGGGAGTGAGGGTCTCCTCCACCATGCTGTCCAGGAACCTCTCACTGTCCCTGATGGAGCGCAGTGTCTGCACCTGAGACTCCAACTCAGCTATTCTAAGTTGGAGCTTACTCATTTGCAGACATTTGCTGCAGATGAAGTCACCTGGGTTCAGGATGCCCTCCCATCAACTCCCACATACCACATTCCTCACACATCACCTGCCAGGCCATTATCTATCTCCTCTTCCCCTTAGATATATAACCTGCACCTAATTCCCACTCTCACCAAATTCCCTCACACTCTGTGGCCTCACTCTCTCCTCGAGTGAGGCTCTCGCAGCTATCTCCTATTTATGCTCTCTAGGTGCAGCCACTTTCTGATTGCTCAGCAGTAATTTGGAATTAACACCTAATCAAGTGATTAATCAATAAGTTCCTTGTTATTGGCTCGGCCTAGTTAGCTACAGCTGCTCCCTGTAGAGTTACCCCACAAGACCAATCTACCAACGGTATCAACAATTTTAACTGCCACAAGACTTGAACAACAACAACAACCACAAGACTTGAATAACAACAACAACTTGGATTATGTACTCACGATAGCGGTTCTCACGATACTCACAGCAGCAATTCCCACTCTCACCAGATTCCCTCACACTCTGGCCTCGCCTCACTCCGGACGTAGCTCACTCTGGGCTCTCTGCTTGCTTCTTAGGTTACAAGATCAGCCATGGTCTTATTAAAAGGCGGGGCAGGCTCGAGGGACCGAATGGCCTACTCCTGCTCCTACGTCTTATGGTCTTAATAATTGTGCAGTGTTGGGTGTAAACTTTTCTCATTTAGATACTATACCTGCATCCCTGTTGGAGGTAGAATAATAATTATCCCTGCATTTGATATAACGCTTTATTACATCGTTGAGACGTCTCAAAGCACTTCGCAGAATATGGAACATCTGGGGTAATGGAAATAGGAAGGGACCAATGGTTAATGTATCCACATTGTGTTCCTGTGTTTCCACACTTGGGTTCCGGCCTCAGAAGACGGAGAATGTGGGAAAAGAATAAACAGCCCAGGACAGAGGCGGACAGTCTTGACCAGGAGAGAAGGAAAGACCAGAAGAGTAGTAAATTAGTGGGAAGGGAAGACCCAGGATAAACTTGAGGGAGTGACCATGTACTGTAAATGAGCAGTCAGACCATCCACAGTGCCAGTGACCAGTTCATTAACAATAACAGCAATAACAATACAATATTTACATTTGGAGAAAGTTCACAGGATGTACTGTAAAGTGCAGATATTGTATGTTTTGTGGGCAAACCTGGCAGCCAGTTACACAAAGTTACACAAACATAGAGGTGTTAAATGGGATTGAAAATGCTAACCCAGATTAGTACTATAGAATGAACCAGGCAGCAGAACAAGAGGGCATGAGTTAAAAGTTGTAAAGGGCAGTTTTTGGACAGACACCAGGAAGTTTTTCTTTACTCCGAGACTAATCAATGATTAGAACAGTGTTGCCAGGAAGGGTGGTTGAGGCCAGGACACTGGGACTCATTTTAATAAGCGGCTCGATGCTGTGATGAGAGCACGATAGGCTGGGTGTTCTGGAGAGATGAGATTAGATGGGCTGAAGGGACTTCATCATCTGAATGAATCTTGTGGTCTTGTGAGACATTCTAAAATGGTTGACTATTTGCAATACCACTAAAAAACAGCAGAGGACACCATCCTCCTGTGATAAACTTCCACGGGAAGGCAACATTTTACGAAAGAGTTTGAAGCTTTCACATAATGTTTTCTTGCAGATAGTGTTTTGTGTGCATTTAGCAACGTCCCACAAACAGCCATGAAATGAAAGAGCGATTTTATCTGGGGGGATTGTCGGCCGGGACACCGGGAGAGAGAGGAATGAGGTAAGCAGGACACGTTCCTCCAGAGATAGTGCCATTCCATTCCGACCATCTATCTCTGGAAGTTCCATATGTAGATGGGACGCATGGAATTCTCAGTTTAGTTTGGATACTCTTCAGCTTGGTGATGGGTTTCCGCATGTGTCAGGCACCTGACTGACCAAAAAAACCCCGCCATGATGTATCTTTAGAAACTGAACATCATTTTGCTTCACTGGCAAACATAGCCAGGTGTTTCCATAGTGATGGAGTATTGGATTGTATCCAACTTTCTCTGTTCCACCCACTTGTTCAGTGATCAAAGCCAAGCTGAGGTCCGGCTGAGCCCTGAAAGGATGAGCTTGGCAGGTGTCAGGATCGCGATATGCAGAGAAAGCTGAACAAAGCAGGACATTTTGCAAATGTTGGTTGATCACAAGATCAGATGAAATTTTCAGATGAAAAATACCCTTTGGCCCATTTAATCTCATCATTCCTCCAGAACACCCAACCGATCATCCTTCCATCCCAGCATCAAAAAATGTTTTAATGAGTCGCAGTTTCCTGGCCTCAACCACCCTTCCTGGCAAACCTATTCCAGTTGTTAATTACTCTCTGAGTAAAGAAAGAATTCTTGATGTCTTTCCTGAAATTATACTTTCGCAACTCTAAACTTTTGTCCTTTTCTGTCTGAATAAAAACAGAATTGTGGACTGGAACCTGGTAGGACATCAGGGCCTGGATGAGCAAAAACTTCCTATAACTCAACGTTGACAGGACGGAAGTCATGCTCATTGGCTCCCATCAACGTCTTCTATCCTGTGTCTCTGACCTCTTCATTCTCCCCGGCTTATCCCTCTGACTTACTGAACCAGTGTGGTTCGACCCACAGCTGTCTTTCCTTCCCCATATCCGGTCCCTGACCAGGACCACCTTCCTCCATCTCTGCCACATTGCCCGCCTCCTACCGTACCTTACCCCAGATGCAGCCGAAACACTCGTCCATACGTTCGTCATCTCCTGACTCGAGTTTTAAAATACCCTCTTTGCTGATCTCCCCAGCTCCACCATGCACAGGATCCCAAACTCTGCCACCCACATACTCACCCTTACTAAACTCTGTAGCCCATCACACCAGTTCTAGTCAGGCTACACTGGCTCCCTATCACCGAATGGATCGATTTTAAGATCCTGACACTCGTTTTCAAATCCCTTCATGTCCTAGCACCTCCCTATCTCTCCAACCAGCTTACCCCCCAACCCACTGCCTCCGCTCGACTTCTGCACGTCCCTCGTGTCCTCTGTTCCACCATTGATGGCCGTGCTTTCAGCCACTATGCCCCGAAACTCTGGAAAATTCTTCCTCTATCCCCCTGCCTTGCCCCTCCTTCCCCATCTTCAGGTCGGGCCTGAAGACCTTCTTATTTGACCGCGCCTACGGTCAACCCCTCCCCCTCATGCGCGCTGGGACCCTGCCCTGTGTGAGGGGCGTTATATTAATGCAAGTTGTTGTTGTAGGAATTTTTCAATGTATCTCTGAACTCGGAATTTTCCAGCAGTGAAACTGCGCAGAAGAGATGTTCTGTATTCAGTGATAAGACATATTTTTTGGAAGTATTTTTGTTTGTTTCTCCGAGATACTGATATAGAAAGTACTGTCAGTAGTCTCTCCTCTTTGCCCTGTCCACAGGTCAAATGTAACTAACAGGGCTTGTGGGTTGTATTGTGTGGGTTCTGATCTGTTTGGCAGTTTTGCCCATTGGATTACAGCCAATAAAGGACTGAAAGAGACTGATAAATTATGGAGCTGTTGCTTCAACCAGCGCACAAGAAAAAAGGTTCCTTCCTTCCAAAGTCAGGCAACGTGTTTAATTAGCCATTTCAAAAATGATTCCCGGAATTAAGCCTTTTGTTCCCATTATTACTGTGCTGTACTGTGTAACGTGCCGTAATAGAGATTTTTAATGTCATACATTCTAAAAGCATCTCTGACTGTGATTGGGTGGACAGAGGCACAGATGTTTCAATCAGAGTTCAGTGGTGTATAATAACGTATTATAACGTGGTGTATAATGCCTCGTGTCACAAAACACAGATAAAGCTCATACACAGAACGCTGCCTGAAGACTGGAGTAAAGAAATCACAGCAAATTAAATCCCGATTTGTTTTTCAAATAGAGGGAGAAACTAATTTTCCTATTGTATCCGTTCTATTCCCTTCAAAATGCTAGTTGCTGTTCTCATTTTGGGGGTCATCCAATTAGAAGGAGCCATGCTATGGGTTTAAAGGTTTGACTCTACCCATCACCCCCAAGCCTTGCCTTGTGAGTGCATATTCCATTGCAGACCCAGGGAAATTTCCGTGTGTAGGTGGAATACATATGCAGAACTCTCAGTCTGGTTTGAATACTCTTCAAGCGTTGTGATGGGTTTCCGCAAGTGTCAGACACCCCCCCCCCACCCCCGGCCGATCAAAGAAATATACACTCTGCTCTCAACGTTGCAATGAACAGTCTCCCGATAACTGGCGTCAAACACACAAGGCTTGATCAAAAATAATTCTTTATTCAGAGAATTTTTGGTATTAAAATAAACGGCGAGAATTCTTGGCGTGAAGAACACGAGCAGCGAGGTTCAGGCAGTTCAGTGCCGAAACGTGCGAGTTCTCCCGCCATCAATATGCAGAGCATTCGCTGAGGAACAACATTCATAACACAAGAGTCGTGAGAGGGGAAAGAGCACAACAGCACAGTCAGTCTCAGTCATTCGGTCGGTTCCATTTAATAATCTTAAGCGCTCTGGCTCGCTATCCTGCTGTCGTTGTTGCTTTTCCAATGTTTCAGGTCCGTTTCGCCCACAACATACACAAGTCAATCCACTTTACAGTGAAGTGGCTGCCACTGTGAAGCACATTGCGACGTCTCAACGATGAGATAAGGCACTATATGAAACGCTGGGATTATTATTATTATTGGCCGGTCAGCAGATTTCAGCCACAGACCATTTCTGGTTGTAAGTTACACAACACTTTAATAATGAGACCTAAAATATATTATCTTTTAACCTCATCATAAATTATGGAGCATCATATTTTATTGATCTTCTTCCTACATTTGCCTGGACTGAGACATCACTGAGATAGAAGCTTTGAAGTCGGTCAGGAACACTTACACATTACGTCGGATGCCTTGGTTTCCGATCCTGTAGTTATGGGCAGCCGTTACCCTTCTCACTTCCCCAGTGGTGAAATAACTCGATAAATCTGCAGCTGGAAAATAGTTCAGTTTATCATTGATCACAGAAAACTGCCAACCAGCAGATAAAGCGCACAGCGAGATTCCAATGGAAGATCCCGTCTGAATGAGACTTCCAACAACGCTGTGCTGGGGGGAGGGGCTGCATCGTCGGAAAGACCGTCCTTCTGATGAGGTGTTGAACCTCGCTACTCGTCTGTGTCCTGTTCAGGCGGGCATCAAAGATCCCGCTGCGCCGGTGGAAAAGAGAAGGGAGTTTCTGTCTCCCGGTGTCCTGACAATCGCCCGAATAAAAATCGGTCACTCACTTTGTGGCTGTTTGTTGTGCGCAAATGGGGCTGCCACGTTCGCCTACAAAATACACAGTCACTCCACTTTACAGTAATCTTTTGACATATGGTCGTTGATTAAAAATATTCTGTACCGCGCGTCTCACTGCGCTATTTACCTGGCGAGGACAAGTCGCTGTTTCCGACCCCAAACAAAATGCCGCAGCCTTCGTGGTTCGATAAGCCGGAGACTGGTGATTGTACGCTTCTGGAATGTTCTGAAACCAAAAGCAATTACAGGGGCAAGGCTATAACAAAATATGCAGTCGATTCACTTTACAGTATATTCTGTGAAGCGCTTTGAGATGTCTCAAAGATGTGATAAGGCGCGATATCAAATGCAAGGATTATTATTATTATTACTATTATTATAACAAATGGTATTCCTTCAAGAGCGTTCCTTAACCTGGTTTCAAAACCCACAGTTGCTCCACTTCATAGTAAAATCCTGCGAGACGTCCTCCTGGCGAGATAAGGCGCTGTATTAAATGCAAGACTTCTTATTACTCACCACTGCCCAGACCGTCGCTGTAAACTCCCCTTCGCTCTGCTGCTGTGTCCTCAAATCCCTTAAAATCATTCGGGAAATCTGGAGGAACCTTCTGCCATTTCTTCTGAATCGGATCCTTGTCTTAAAAGAAGACAGTGACGGGAGTAATTTGATTAACTCGTTGATTCTTATTATTAATTATTATAATTAAAGGAATATTGACAGTCACCACAGGGAGAGGTTGCAGGTTGCAGGTTAACGGAAACCATAAATGGGAGGAATGAACATTTCATACGCAACAAAAACAGTAAAACCTTTATGAGCGCGGATGCATTATTCAGACACAGTAATCTGGAAATGAATGAACTTGCGTGAAACATCATAAATACTGTACATAGTGTTCATCACTTATTCAAGAACCGCAGTCTGCGATAGTCGATGAAAAAATAGATTGATCGTAGCTGAGTTACCCTGTGTACTGGGGTAGTATATGAAGGGAGTAGATTCGCTGCTTTCACCGTCTGAACGTCTCCGCAGCTGGACGAAAACCGAGACGGGTTTCGCGATGTGAACGTCGTAATATTTTGGCGTCCTGAAAACTATAGCGAACTGAGACAAGGCGGAGATTGTTAGGCTTATTTGAAAAGGAAAGCGGGGCGCGAATGCAACCAAAACAATAGAAGACCCGTAACCTTATCAGAGGAAGAATACAGTTCCTGTTAAAGACGCTGGGGAATTAATACAACCACAACTTGCAATCATACAGCACCCTTCATGCAGGGTGGTGTCCTGGAGCGCTTAAAATGTTAAGGGGTTAAAATGACTAATAATAATATAATAGTATAACACAATATAATGTAAATAACATTAACTAAAATAACTAAACTGCTCGGTGTCCCACCCCGTCATTGTGAAGTCCTCCGAGACGCTGCCCTGCATGAAGGGTGAGGTATAAACGCCTCCACCCGTTACATTTTGTCAGACCATTGTCAAGGCGCTGTGTCACAAACTGCGGCCTATTTTGCGGCCAATTCTGGACACCATGCTTTAGGGAGGATATCAAGAGGGTGCAGAGGAGATTTACGAGGATGGCACCAGAGATGAGGGTTGTTAGTTCTGTGGAGAGACTAGAAAGCTGCGATTGTTCTTCTTAGAGCAGAGAAGGTTAAGGGGAGATTTAATAGAGGTGTTCAAAATGATGAGAGGTTTTGATAGAGTAGATAGGGAGAAACTGTTTCCACTGGCAGGTGAGTCAGTAACCAGGGCATAAAGATTTAAGATAATTGGCAAAAGACCCAGAGGGGCTGAGAAGTTATTTTACACAGAGACTTGTTATGGTCTGGAATGCACTGCCTGAAAGGGTCAGTGGAAACAGATTCAATAACAACTTTCAAAAGGGAATTAGATAGGTGCTTGAAAAGGGAAAAATTGCAAGGATGAGGGGAAAGAGTGGGGGAGTGGGACTAATTGGGTAGCTCTTCCAAAGTGCTGGCACAGGCACGATGGGCCGAATGTACTCCTTCAGTGCTGTAGTATTCCATGATTTTATGATTCTATTTTCTAGCCTGCGAATGGAAGGTGGAAGGTGGTGGAAAGGTGGGGAATAACAACCACAGATGACATTTATACAGCCCCTTTCACGTCAGAAGGACATCCCAAGGTGCTGAACAACCAAGGATTTGCAGCCGTGCTGGGGGTTGGGATCAGGAGGGATGGAGGCCAAGGAGGGTGGGGTAGGAGGGTGACTGAATAGCATTTAAATCTCTACCTGTCGGTGAACATCTGTGGGACTAAATTTTCCAAACGCCTCCCACATTTGGCCATTTCCATCTTCTTCATAGAATCGGACCTGGACGTCGTCTGAGGAGAGAGATTTCACGTGACTCGGCGAATTCTGCTTCAATCGTGAGTTGCTCGTTTAGTTTTTTACTATTCTCACTCTCCCAGCTCGCTCGAAGAGCTTCGAGAATCTGGGAACACCCACAGCATTTCCTCATCTTAATTAATTGTCGGAAATCGGCTATTTTAATCTACAGGGTGTTCACAAAGTCCTGTTAGCCCCATGTGTTTTTTTTACACACAGTGCACTGACCAACAACTGAAACAAATGGAAGAATGATGATAATTGTATTTAAAGTACTTAATAGTATTCGGTACAAGTGTCTGACTACTTAGATGTTCAGAGGACGTGTGAGTGTGTGAGCGCCATAATTTTCATGGCAGATAATGATCCGTCACCATGTTCAGTGCACCATCTTCCGTAACATGGATGGAGTGAGGAGATGAAATACATCTCTGACAGCTTGTTTTAGCTCCTCTGTAGTCTCGTATAGCTGTTTTGGGGGCAAGAGGACTTTGTGGACACCCTGTACATTTGAAGCTTGTTGCATGTGGAGAAATTCAGTCAAACGTGAAAGCTGCCAAGGGCTGAAGATACCACTGAGTTGAGATTGTTCACCTTTCTGGACTTTATCGCACAGCAGAAAGACTTCATCTCCACCCACGACACTGCCCGCTGTCCTCGCCATTCTAACTATCCTCAGGCTCGATGCATTGGGTGCCTCTAGCAAATAGCAAAGGAAAGCAGAGCATTCAGTGATCTTCTTCTGTCGTCAATTGAAAAATCCGCACCTTAAACTCCGGCAAATCTAAAACTCCGCCACCCACATTCTCACCACAACCAAACTTCGAGACCTTATCCCACGTGAAGGGTGCTATATACATGCTACTTGTCGTTGTTGTCTAGGTAAGTATTTAGATTACCGAATGCTTCAACGTTAAATTGAAATCTTAATTCTCAACAATTCCTATTCTCAATACCTCAGTTGGCTCTCGTTTATTCAACAGTCAATTGAGCGCAGCAAGTGTCCCACAAACAGTCGTGGATTTAGTGAACAAATTATTACAGGTGGAGTCCTGTAGCTCAGTGGTCAGAGCATTCACCTCACAAGCGAGAGACCTCGGTTCTATTCCCACCAAGGTGAAATGTTAGGCAAGTTTCCTTACTCCACACGCCTCTATTTAACTAGCAGTAAGTGGGAACCCAGTTGTTAGTTGATTGGCGGATCGCTTTTCTGGGGATAATAATTCCTCAAAAAAAAATCACTCAATAATAATTCGGTCACTAAATCCACAACTGTTTGTGACACACTGCTGTGCGCATTTGGCTGCCACGTTTCGCCACAAAATATACAGTTACTTCACTTTACAGTCTGTGAAGTGGTTTGGAGTGATCCTCCAATCAACCTACTAACCTCTAGGTAAACAGAGCTGTGTGTAAAAGAAAACATGCCTCAGGTTTTGCCTCGCCTGGTAATCGAACCTGGGTCCTCTCACTTGTGAGGTGAGTGTGCTGACCATTACGCTACAGGACTCCACATTTCCCCTCATCCCCCCCACCCCAGTCTGATTTCCTTTACTGTAGTTTAACCGCACGCTCGGTATAAAAGCACTCACTGCTGTCATATATGGGATCCGATATTGCCGGGCTGAGTCTGCACATGAGCTTGTCATCGTTTCCCAGGAGATACGGAGTGAACATGAGGCGGACGACACTGAGATCCATACACTTAGCCTGTTTCTGAGCATTTATATGGATTTTCTCTCTGTCTTCGTCTGTATTCATTACACACACAAAAAGGTTAATATGACCATCAATCTGCTGCTCTCCTCACTGAATAAGAGGTGTGGGTGGTTATCTGTGGTGCATGTGGGGGGGTGTGGGGGGGCAGGGTCTGTGATTATAAAGTAGGACAAGATTTGGCACTGATTGGCCTTCGTGAATTGGACTCTACACTGGACAGACAATGCTGTGAATCCTGGAGTTGGAAATCAATAAACTAGGCTATGTCATTGCTGTAATTTAACTCAATCCAAATCAAAGGTGTGTTAGTAGTTTTTTTGTCTTTCCAAACTCTCAAGAATACACCACTCTAAAGCACACACTTTGTCCCACTACGAGTGTCCTTTTGTACTCCCTGTCCTTCTTTTCATCGGCTCCTCGTCAATCAATTGTCCGTTTACTCCTAAAGGAGAATCCAATGATTACCAAAGACAAGTGAGTATCTGTCCACTTCACACAAAAGGTCCAACTTCTCCCCCGAAAGGTCGTGTTGTGCTGTTTGAGACATCCCACCGACCTGAAAGGCGCTATAAGCGGTTCTTCCCTTCTCCATCTCCCCTGCCCTCCACCCCTTCACTGACCTTAGCCTGCAATTTGGGAGCATTGTACAGCCCCTCAACTGCCTTACCCCATCTTCACAAAATCGCCCAGCTTTGCCACTGTCTCATACCACAGTCCCTCTGCCTCGCCCCCTCCCTTGCCTCCTTCAAGGTCCATCTCAAGACTCTCCTTTTTGACCGTGCTTTCAATCTCCCTGCATCCACCCCCGGCCTCCACTCTCCTTGATCCCGACCCTCAGCTCGGGTCCGAAACTCTGTCTGTCCAGCGCCTTGGGATGTCCTCCTGATGTGAAGGGTGCTAGATAACTGCAATTTGTTGGTGTTATTTGCTGTTGTTGTAATGGTATTGTATTATAACAGTAACAGGAGCTGCCTGTTCAGTGTCGATGAACATAAAACTCAATGTTCTCAACTCACTGCGTAGCTGTTTCTGTGATGAAGATGCTGTTGGGTTTCCACTGTTTCTGTCCTGTGGTGACTCCTGTCCGTCCTGGCTCTCCAAGCTCCAGGCCCTGACCAGCTGATCCTCGATGATTGTTGCCACTTCCTTCTTCGGGACATGAAGGATCCCGAGGTTGGGAAAGCTAACCGGAGAGGGGAAAAGGATCAGCATTGGAACCGGGGGAGTCAGTGTCACCGCTCTATGCAAGCGTAAGGTGAATTGATTGTGTATTTTGCGGGCGAAACATAGCAGACAATTGCACACAGCAATGTCCCGCAAACAGTCGAGCGCTCTGGGAAACTATCCTGTGGTGAAGGGTACTATATAAATGCAAGTTGTTATGTTGTTGTTGTTGTCTCATGGATTGAGTGACCATTTTTTTGAAGGGATTATTACTCCCGGAAAGCGATCCGCCAATCGACTAACAACCGGGTTCCTATTTACCGCTGGGTAAACAGAGGGGTGCGGAGTAAGGAAACTTGCCTAAAGTTTCACCCCGTCCGGGGATCGAACCCGGGTCCTCTCGCTAGCCTCGCGAGTGCGCTAACCGCTACGCTACAGGACTCCACATTTCCCACCTGGCCGTCATGTCTTCAGAATCGATTCTGACCACGCAGGTCCCTCCCCCGCACTGCCGGCCCACCAGGCTGTGCACGTGGAGAAGCGCCGGCTCATCAATGGTCACCAGTTGCACAACGATTTTGGCCGGTCCCGTGTAGTTGTGAATCTGCAATGCAGCACAGGCCGAGGTTTGGAAAAAACACCGAAAAATATCATCGCTCTGCTCTGCGCTGCATGTTAACAGGGTCAACAGTCATAAACTTTGGGTGAATAGAGATAACCCCTGTTGGTAACCGAATCAACAGGATATCAAAATCCCTGGCCAACAATCCTCCAGATGAGGTTGGTCACTCATCCCAAGCTGCTTGTGGGAGGGACATTGCTGCATGCAAATCGGCTGCTGCGTTTCGCCTACAAAATACAGTGACAGCAACCCTTAACGAACCGGCTGGAAATGCTATCCACACCGCAGTTCCTGTTTATTTAGGGTGATTAAAGCCTCAGTGATTCACCCAGGTGTCCGTTGCCCCAGGAAATGTTACAGACTGGCCCAGATATGAAGAACAATAGCCGTTCTCCATCTGTACCAAGTTGTGCAAAACAGCTGAACAAGTTCACCTCTGTAAGCGTTGCTTGAGCACACATGTTCTAGTCAACGGTCTAGATGGTATTTTATCCAAGTGGCATAAAATTATCACTTTATCTCTCTCTCTTTCTCTCTTTTTTTCTATTTCTCTTCTATTTTCTATTTCTCCTCTCTCGTTTTATTCTTTAATCAAGACTGAATGTAGAGTGTCTGATCAGATGAGTTAACCAGTGTGACTAGTCTCAGGACTGTGCATTCTGTCTCACTGCATGGTGTGTCCTGTCCGTTATTGCCATGTCAACCTCACAACACATCGCATTATTGGGTGCCAGTGCACCCAGTCAAGCGGCAATTAAACACATCCTTCTGAAGTGTGACCGTAATACGACACGCTTACAGTTAATGATTGAGATGAAGTGCAGAGAAAAACAAAAGTCTGGCGTTTCTGAAAGCAGAAGTGAAAATGTTGCAGTCTCAGTCGGTTCGCACTTGATCTCGGTGTTGGAGCTCTCAGTCTGATGCAATCCTGGGGGTTCGGGGGGGGAGGGGTGTGAAAGAGCTGCATTGTCAGAGGCGATGAATTTCGGATAATAAATAATAATAATCCTTGCATTTGATGCAGCGCCTTATCACGTCTTCGGGACATCCCAAAGTTCTTCACAGGATATACTGTAAAGTGAATTGACTGTATATTTGTGCCTGGACAATGAGACATTGAACCAAGGTTCTGTCTGTGTCTGTTCAGATGGATGTTAAAGATGCTATTTCTCTCTCCTGGTGTCCTGCCTGACCAAACAGTTACTACGCTTAAAGTTTACAGTGAATTCTGTGAAGCTCTCTGAGACATCCTTGTGATGTAAAAGGCCCTGTGTCAAATGCAAGGATTATTATTAGTTGTTATTATTATTATCCTGCCATCATCATGTCGGCTGGTATCACATACCTTCACTGTAGGATAGGTTTTCTTGCTCCTCTCGCTGGAGACACCTGGCAAACCTCCGTGTGATGGCCCCTCACACCCGTAGCGGAAACGAAAGCCTCGCTTCAAAAGAAAAAGGAAAAGGTTGGTGAAGACTTGATCTCTCAGTGGAGAACAGAACATTTCAGCCTCTCCTTTATATTGATCGTTCCCTATTGTCCAAATTTGCCATCTTTCAGTTTCACTGCATAGAATTTCAGCTACATGACACCTAAGGTCGCAAAGTATCCTTATAAAAGCACAAATATTAATATTCCTAACCCTTCCCCTCCCTGCATCCCCTTCCTGGCTAAAATTGGCAACATTATTTGACTCCTTGTTAGATTTTTGGTTGACCGGGCGTCTGACACACATGGAAACCCATCGCTGGGTTTTAGACTCCAAACCAAACATCACTTAAGCAAGAGTAATGGTGATTCACGGTATAATCGCAATGTGGATCAAGATAAGACTTGATTTGTTATCAATGAATCAATGAATCAATGTTCCTTATCTATGTGTTCACCTACAAATACACAGTCACTACACTTTGCAGTCAAAAATCCCGTGAAGTGTTTTGAGAAGTCTCGAGGACGTGCTGAGGCTCTGTATCTAAGGCAAGGATTATTCGTGGCAGTATGTGTTATCATAGTTGCATTCCTCCAGGGAGCGAGTGTGCATACCATTCCGACAATCAACTGTATCTCTGATATTTCCACGTGTAGGTGGGATGCATTAAATTCTCAGCTTGGTTTGGATACTCTTAAGCACGCTGGTGGGTTTCCGCATGTGTCAGGCACCCAGCTGACCAACAAAATATTTCTAATGAAAACAAAACAAATCTTGTTTGTGGTTTTTGTTTTGTTTTACCTGTCTGGGCTGTTCGATGATTTCAATGTAGGGTTCGCACGCTGAGAATGGAAAAAAATACAGTTAGGACAGTTGTGATCGTTCACTGTGGGCACAAAATGACACCGGAGTTTCTTTGAGAAAAAAGAACAATTGGGAAGAAACAACAACGATGATGGCAACAACTTGCATTTACTGAACGCCCTTCAGAAAGGGGGAATGTCTCAGAGTGCTTTACAATGGGTAGACAAGGTTGGGATTAGGCTCGGACTAGGTGGTCTTGATATATTCCAATGCCTTTTACATACATTAAAGCATTCTGATGCACAATATGTAGGATTATTAGAACCACTTAATACTACTACATAAGTCATCAAGCTGGTCACATTTATTTATGTATTTATACATACACCTAACTCACCACTCCTGATAACTCGTCACTGAGCCCTTTTCCCTGGGAGTGCTGAATTGTACGAGTGGCGTGTTAGACACATATGTATAAATGCATAGATAATGCAGCAGGATATTGACAATGTGATGATTTAAGTGGTAATGACAAGTTAAGGTAGTTTTGAAGCCAAAGCCAGTCCGAATGCTAATAGCAAGCTCACGAGTCCCTTACTGAAGTGTGATGAGCCACATGAGTAGGTGAGATCCTGACAGCTGAGTCCAAAGTCTATGTCCATATTGTTATAGTGATTCATCCTGTCCATCTACAAAACAACACAGGAATGAATTATTATTACTACAGTAAATCTTGCATATGTACGATCTGTATAAATTGTATATAATAATAATCCTTGCATTTGATATAGCACTGTATCACGTCTTCGAGACGTTTCAAAACCCTTCACAGAATATACTGCAAAATGAATTAACTGAATATTTTGTGTGTGAAACTTAGTATAATTGTCCAAGTCGTACATCTGCCCAAGTCTGTATTAAATATATGATCACAACTGATACGACTTACACAAGGTTTACTGTATTATAAAACCTTACAACTAAAGAGGAGGAAGAAAAAACCTTTGTCATCGGCATCTTTGGGCTTACGAATTTGGTTACTTCTTTTAGGTATTTTTTAGTGTATAGCATTTGCAAGGCAGTTATAAAGCAGAAGTGAAACCCCCCTCACGCACACACACACAACAGGGCCACCATTCCGAAACCTGACACCTGGCAGCAGAGATTAAATGGCTTATTGGTGTCTGTCAGTAATGGATCCCCCGATAATCGGGTGGTTAGTGGCCCAGTAGTGTCCGTATTTCTGCCAAGGCTTTGGATCCCGAAATGCACGGAGAATAATGCGACCATCACTTCCTGTCACACTGGAGGGCCCTTTACACCAGGCAGTAAAAAGGTCTCTATTACAGGACAAGGACAGCAGTCAATTGCATATTAAACTCTCGCCTGTACTCAAAATTCTAGCAACAAGTTAGAACGAACGCACATGGCAACATCCAACCAAAGCACGAACACCTTTGCCTTACCTGTCTGCCAGGACGTCCGTAAATGTGTGCAAATTGTCTGCTGAGCTCGCCTGCAAAACACACAGTCACTACATCACCCTATGCAGGTGAAATCGTGCAAAGTGTTTCGAGACATCCTCCCGACGTGAAAGCCACCTGGATCGAGGGCGAAGGCTGATTTATTTCTTCATTTATCAATCGGCGCTTGCTTGCAATCTGTTTCGGGGACATTTTTAAAAAATTGCAGATTTTAGATTATAAGCCACGTGAGACACACATTTGGTTTGATGTCGTGCGTTTTCCTCAGGAGGCTCCTTACCCTGTGCTCGTTAAGTTAATACGTCAGGACCTTACCTTTTAAACCGTGCCTCTGGCCCACCCGGAAACGCCTGAATCAGGGTTCGATGCGAGTGTGAAGAGCTGGTCGATTGCAAAGCATTCAACTCGCTCTCTGCCTCACACAACTTTCGTCACGTGGACAATGTTATCTTCTGTTAAGCAAATTAATTCTCTCTCTCTCCCCCTCCCTTGCTCCATTGCACTCGGTTGAAATGTGTGGCTGACTGTACTGTTATTGTACAATGTGTTTTGATGCTTCAATAACAAAAATAAGTAAACTCGACTTTCTCGAAAGTAATAATAATAATCCTTATATTTGATACACCTCAGGGAGGACCTCTTCACAGGATTTCTGTAAAGTGTTGTGACTGTGTATTATGTGGGCAAATGTGATAGCCAATTTACGCATAGCACAGTCTGGCAAATAAAACCATTAAGCGAACGAGCGATTTTATATCCGGGGGATTGTCGGCCAGGACATCGAATGGGAGAATAATAATCCTTGCATTTGATACAATGCCTTTTCACTTCGTCAAAACCTCTCAAAGCGCTTCACGGGATTTACTGTAAAGTGCAGTGACTGTGTAATAAGTGGTAGAAATTGGGTTTTATTCAGATATTCCCTGCTTTTCTATTACGAATGTCTCCTTGCAACTTGCTCTGCTGTCTGTCTGAACTTCTGTCTTGTGGGAGCAAGTGGTGAGTTGGTGTGTTCACTGGTGCGTTCACTGGTGATCACTGTCTGTGTGTCTGTAATAGTGCCATCTAGTGCTGATCATAAGTCACGGTGCCTAAACCAGATTGTAGGCTGAACATGTCAGTTTATTATATAATACTTGCATTTGATATATATGTGTACTATATATATATAGAACAGTGCTTACATAATTTTGTGTATATGTGTGTAAGAAGGTGTGTATCTAATTGTGCTATCTAATCGTTTCGCCCACAAAATATACAGTATATTCTGTGAAGCGCTTTGAAACGTGACAAGACGCTATATCGAATGCAAGGATTAATATCTAAGTGCATATATAGAAGTGTACAAGTAAAACGATCTCTCGCCTTGACACTGCCACGTTTGAAATTCAGAGCGTGACTGAAACGAATTAAAGATGATCCAATCTCCCAAATGGTTTTCCCTTTTGGCAACCCTTCCCACTCAAAATAATTCCAATCAGATCAGAGTGATTCAGCAATTTTTATTTCATGGCAAATTAAGGAAAACATCACAGAAACGTGCCGAATGAATTTTGAAGTGTATTCACAAGAGATGCAAAGTCAGCGTAAAACCTCTTGATATTCTCACGGAGTAAAACTTATTGTTTAGGCGTGATATCGAGCACTGGTCTACGAATAAGGAATGAGAATAAGGACAGCTTTGAGACAAAAGTATTTTCCTCACTCTTCCAATTCATTGGCTGCCATGAGAGAGGCTCAGAGAATGCCAAGTATGATTCAAGGAATTATTAGCTCCATAAAAAAACATCAGTCATTCTTGTGATTGATATTTCAGGATGAGAAGATGTCTCAAAGCATTCCACAGGATATAATTTGGAGTCCTGTAGCTCAGTGGTTAGAGCACTCGCTTTGCAAGTGAAAGACCTGAGTTCAATTCCAGGCAGAGGGCGACACCTTGGGCAAGTTTCCTTACTCCACACACCTAATAATAATCCCTCCAAAACCAAAAACAATAATAAAATTAGTCATTTTCAATCTATGACTGTTTGTGGGACATTGCTGTGCGCAATTGGCTGCCGCGTCCGCCCACAAATATACAGTCAATTCACTTTACAGTGTGTTCTGTGAAGCGCTTTGGGACGTCCTTCCGACGTGAAAAGCGCTACATCAAATGCAAGGATTATTATTATTATTATTATTATAATAATAATCCTTAATAATAACCGTTGCATTTGATATTGCGCCTTTTCCTGTTGCCGAGACTTCTTTAAGCGCAACTACGCTGTGTAAGCGTGAGTCCTTATTTGTCGGTACGCAGTAACTACGGCTTAATTGCAAGTTCTTGCTGGTTAATGCAAAAGCAATGTCTTGTGCACACCCCAATAGACTCAGCAATAGATGTTGCCGCAATGTGTCTCGGAATTCTAATCCCAATGCTTATAACCAGCAGCTAATGAGGGCATTATCCACGGGGATCATTCTGAGAAATATTTCTAGAAGGAACCAAAGTGTAATCTCTTTCATCTTCTGGATAATAAAGGGCTTCACCTGCTGAACTGTGCCGTGTGCTTATTAGTGAGTTTCCACAGGGGTCTGCTCTGGGTTTCCTGTTGTTCGCACAATTCGTGATTGATACAGAAGCTTGTGATATTGTAAAAGTTTGTGGAAGACAAACCATTAAGTCACATGATGAAAATAAGGGAGACGGAGCTCACAGTCCAGACTGGCCGTCCAGTGCAGTGCTGTGGGGGGGGAAGGTTGTTACATTGTTGGAGGCTCCGTCCTTCAGTTGAGATGTTAAACCGAGATCCCGTCTGTGTCTTGTTCAGGTAGATGTTAAAGACCCCATTGGCACTATTTGAAAAGAGAAGGGGGTTGGCTGATGATCCACTAGATAACTTGGTCATTGGTCAATTGGTTAAGGCTGTTTGTGAGACATTGCTGTGTGCAAACTGGCTGCCGTGTTCACCCACACAATAGGGTCCCGATAGATAACACGGGATCAGAAATGATGTCATTTTTGTGTTGCCTGGTCAGGAGACAGAAGACAGTTGAAGACCATGTGTCCTGTCTAACCGTGGGTTAAGTCAGCACCGTCGAGCGATCAAATCTGCCAATCTTGGTTTGGATGACTCTGTGTCAATGCACGTAGCCCAATTACCCATCAATCAGTGGAGCTCGTTTTGATATTTTATTTAAAGTTTTGCTGCCTAAATTAAACACACGTATCTAACCAATGGGCCAAATAATGAAGAAATTAAAAATTGATCACAGTATTTTTTTTCGTAATGATCAACTTCAGGCAACAATGTGAAAGACGTATTTGAGTTTGAAGAAAATTATTCGAAAGTGATTTATGTCAAACAAATTGAAATCGGTAAAAGTGAATATAAAAATATATGGTAATTGTTAGATAATTCAAAATGTTTAATATCGCAATAAAAAACAGTAATCCAAGTTATTGCAGAAACAATGTACTAACGTCAAGACACTGTTATTTCATCCATCTAAATTGAAGACTATTCACTTTATATTTCACGCTTTAGGAACTGGCCTAATAATGGTAATGATTTTTCAAACTTTTCGAAAATTTAATGAGTCTCAAACTCTATTAGAATATATTATTTATGAGGTTTTGTATTTAAGTGGGCTAAATAATAATCCTTGAATCCGATACCCATCTTGTCCCATCGAAACAGTTTTCTGTAAATTGCAGCCCACCCAACAAGGTCATATTATTATTATTATTATTATTATTATTATTATCTGAACCGATGTGTACATCTTAAATGTAGGATAAAAATATTCCACGGTTTACTATACGCCATTGACCCATAGAGATATGTCATAACTAGATCAGTGATTTTTAACATGTGTTACAACATATATATAGTAATAATAATCCTTGCATTTGATATAGCACCTTATTACATCTCAAAGTACTTCAGAATATATTTTGTGGGTGAAACGCAGCATATATATATATATATATATATTACAAATACCAGCCTGGGGATTTATGCCAAAATGTTTTATTTGTAGAATTCACATAAGGAAGCAGTTTTATTCTGATTTCAGAAGCTTATCATTGTTACTGGGTCTCATTAAAGATACTGAAAGCTGAAGGCTCTTTTGATCAAATTGTATGATTTTTGCCAGCACTGTGTATTAAAGGGAAATAATGACAAACCTGTAATTTTTTCTCAAAAAATAATTTACACAATAAACCTTTCCAAAAAAAGTCAGTCAAAAGAAAATCCCATTGAGGGGTGGGGTGGATTTTTTTCCATGTTACTACTTTATTACATGGTTTCGATCAAGAAAATTGTTTCGATCTTCTCTCTGATTGCGTAAATGTTGCTGACTTTAGCTTAAAGACTTAAAATGATGGTGATAAATCACTCGCATTAACAAATGAGGCACAAGTCATACTGTGAAGATGGAACAAATTTCAGAGGCATCACATTTCTGATTTCATTTCATCCTTTAATGCAGCACATTTCTATCCTGCTGATTCATCTTGGCGGCTCCTCCATCTTTCCTGCCAAAGAAACCCAAATAGGAAAGAACACTTGCAGATTCCTTTACGATGCTCCTGGGTACCCTGCCCCCCCCCCCCCCCCCTTACCATACCCTGTGCCCTAGATTGGTAGATAAATACCTAAATAAATATAATGGGACTGTAACTTGAGAATTGTGCCACAAATGAAAGTAGTCCAAAAGTTGTAGGTTCTGGAATTTACTTGTGTGCTTGATGTGAAATGTAATGTTCACACAACTCAGCTAATTCTGTTATCGGCATCTGGAGACTTTCTCAGTGAGGCAACAGATGGCATAGTTCTCCGTACTCCAACACGACCTATTACTGTGACATTACTGTGTCCAGAACTATTGTTTCTTTGCTTCCAGCAACGGAACCGCTAATGTCACAGTGGATGGCCGAGTTGTGTAGCTTTCGTGCCCTCTCTCCATCTTGTGTTGGAGCTTCAATCCATCCGCACAATGAGCCTCACATTACATTAACGCAGCCACAATACTGAATACAGTATCGTTTCCAATGAAGCCGGGCTTAGG